AGGAAATTGCCTTATTTTACGGCTTTTACTTTTTAAAAGTTACAATATATGTCCAAGCTGTGTGGAGCTGCCGATACAAACATATATTAAGGCTTATAAGCCTGTAATTATACATTTTGCTACATTTAATTTGAATAGTGTGCACCAACGGATTAAAGGTAGTAAATAATTAGTACCTTTTCTAGTACTTTAAAATGCGTGACCGGAATAGACCTGCCGAAAAAGTGAGGTTAAGTTACTGACAACACCTTGTTATTATTACACCATGGTGCTACCTAAAATTTCACCTGTGGAAACTTTATCCCCATAAAGCACTTCACCACAGCTTTTTTTTACTGGATATACTGTCGGCCGCTGTGGTGTAGTGATAAGCAGTGCGCGCTTCCACTCCGCAACGCCTGGGTTCAAACCCTGGTCAAAGCAACATCGCGAAAATATCGAAGAAAGGTTTTTTCTTAACAGCGGTCGGTCCTCGGCAGGCAATGGCAAACCTCCGAGTGTGTTTCTGCCATGAAATACAGCTTCTCATAAAATTGCAATCGCCGTTCGGAGTCGGCGTAAAACTGTAGGTCCCTCCGCTTTGTGTGACAACATTAAGGCGCACGCCACAAATCGGAGGAGAAGCTCGGCCAAACACTAACATATGTGTAAGCGCCAATCTATTATTATTAGGTGCGTTCGTTTAAAATCTCCAGCAGAAACCAACCAACTGCCAAAATCCGGCGAAATGTCATCTGTTCTCTCACAAGAGAGAAATATCCAAAATAGTACGCGTACAGAAAATTTGCAGAAACTTGCAAGTTAGACGAACAGCTGATATAATGTTTGTTTACATACAAAAGTGTAAAATTTAAAACGTACGAAAAGTCGTCGCAAAGTGTTATACTGACACAGTTTATTGATTAAACAAATAACTACTTATTTCTTACAAGTTTAATTAGTCGCATTTTGTAATTTTTATCTTCCAAACCATCAAATTCAATTTTGCGATTTGCGTAAATGACAACCAGCTGTTTTTGATCAGCTGTTTCCCTGTTGGCAAATTGCTGTTGGCAAAAATTTTTCCAACAGAAACTAACAGCTTCCCCTCAAAATGAAATGTCACTTTGCTCTCTCAATTTCCCCTACATTGCAAGTTTTGGTTAAACTTGAACAATTAACAGCTATGCGAACGCACCTATTATTATATACTGAGTATTGTACTCGCATAATGCGAACATTAAAAACGTATTCGCTCTGCCTTCCCTCTCTGTGCTTAAAACATTTCAAAACCAATTGAACGTATTTAAATTAACATTGGAAAATTCAAAGAATTGTGGAATGCATTATCTGTAAATTATTCGTACAAAATAAAAATATTTTCTTGCGCCGTAATAAGCGTGCAGCACAAAAATTGTGCAAATACTGACGCATTCGTACGCGGCCATCAATCCATCAATTGTCAACGACAGAAAACAAGTAGAGGCATGGGTTGAAGAACTTGTTTGAAAAAGCGTTTGGAGTAGTAGACATTTTGTTTGTAATAATTTTTCTTTATTCTCTATGAAATTGTTAACGAATGATTAATTTTTTGATTTTGGCCGTTCTATTATAATTTATTTGTTAATTTTGAGCTCCAGGCCGATTGGAAAAACTCAATAATTCCTGAAGATGCTTTCAGATTGAAGGCGAAATATCGACAGCAATAAATGTAATAAATAAAACTACCAAAATCTATGTTTTATTTAATAACCGGCCTGGAGCTCAAAATTAACGAATAAATTTTTAACGAATGAGATCGAATAAAATGACTTTCGGAAATATAGAACACAACTTAAAACTATATAAATTAAAATCAGCATCCTTGACATCTCACAAATGGGATGAATATCTCAAAGAGATCTCATAGGAAGAATTGAGGTGAGAATTAAAGAATTTAAGTAATAATCTCAAAATGAGATTAAAGGCGTCTCTCTACGTATAGAGAGAATTCCCATAAGAACAGCGCTGTGAACGGGGAAATATGTATTACAGGCTAACCTAATATTCACGTACGCCGCCAATTTACTGTCAAAAATTTCTCATCCCCATACAACTTGTATGGGAACAACCGAACAACAACAACAACAATTGAACGGCGTGCGTATGAAGCTAACTCAATTTCCAATTTTTGTTCTGCGTGACATTTTGATTTGACGTTTCGCACAATGAAATCAAATACAAACACACGCAAGCCAATTTCGGGTGACGCAAAAAAACATTTTCGACGGCGTGCATACCAAAAGGCAAGCCGCGAATATTAGGTTAGCCTGTTAAGCGAATTAAGGAACGGAAATTTTAACAGAGCGTACATAAAGGGAATATTTGAAAATGGTTAAAATGATCAAATTGAAAGCATTGAGAGTGAGCCAACTGAATAAGTTGCTTCAAAGTCAAGGTGCATCCGTGATGGGCAATAAAGCGGCGAAAATTTTGAAATTGACGGACACCCTGTAGTCAAATGTACCAGTTGTAAACTACCTAACAACTAGTATGAACCGCATGCCCAACAAGTCAGCCAACTATCTTTTTCCATGCAATCAACTGGTATTTTGAGCATGGGGATATCCAACGAGATGGCAATTGTCAGATTTTGGTCAGAAATATACCAGCCTTATACTAGTTAAAAATATACAGAAAAATACTAGTCCAATTATGGACCGATACCACTACTTTGGAAGTCAAAAAATAAAATGAATTCATGAATATACAATAAAAACCTTTTGAATAAGTAAACTTTTAAATACTATGCATTTTTATTTAGCAGTCTTAGATTTGCCAATAATTAGTGCTAAAGTTTTTGAGTATTAATTAAAAAGAAAAATACCCAGTGGGAAAAGTGGTAATGCATTACATGCGTGGTAAATAATATAATGTATTTCTAATGAGTTCTAGATTCTATTTCCGTTTAATATGTAATTAGAATTCTAATGTATCCAAAAACTTGCAAAAATTACAAAAATTACAAAAATCACATTCATTCTTGCATTACTCGTAATGCAAAAATCAATGCCCCACTTTTCCTAGGACATCGACGTGGGAAAAACAATGCATTCTCGAATGTGAAAACGGCTGTTTTAGCGATTATTTTTTCGATTACTATACATTAGTTTTTCCCAGTGGGTAAATACATAAATATTTCAAACTTTCGAAGATAAATTTAATTGCATTTTTTATTAAATGTTATTAAAAGTAATAGCTTTCAGGTACAATAAACACTACATTTTTTATCTTTTTAATTAATATTAAATATGCAAAAGAAAAAATTTTAGCTAGAAATATAAAACAAATAAATTAGTTCATTTTCGAGTGAACTTATATAAAAATAAGTTTTTATTAAATTAAATTAAATTCATTAACTTTGAACATTTCAGTCCTTTCTTTTTAAAATTTTATAAATTTAATAATATCCCTTGAAATTTGAGAATTGGATAGGAATAAAATAAACAAATAACACTGTACGGCAAAATCAACTTTTTTTCTGGGTATTGGACCAAACCAATTTTTTTAAGAGATTGAGTCATAGGTTAAAAAGTAGTTTCTCCGTTTTTCGAAGCTAGCCTCCGAAATCGAGATATGGGCCTTCGAAGTTCGAAATAGGACCTTTGGTAAAAAATTAGATTTAATTATTGCATATAAATAACTAAATACCTAAAAATACAGACGTAGTCCTCCTTTTGCTCTTATTTAAATGGTATATAACTTTTTTTGTGCAAACTTATATTACAGGTGTTATAAGGGGTCAAAGTTCAGGTCTTCGAAAATTAAATACTTTATATTTCAAACAATTTTGAACTTATTTTTAAAAAAATTATACCGTTGTAAAGGCGATTAAACCTTTCTTTCGATTTGCATATTTGTATACTTCGTATACAAAAATTTTAGAAAAAACACAAAAATTAAAATAAGACACATTTTAATGAAAAAATAACTTTTTTTATAAAAAAAATATTTTAAACAAAAAAATACTAACCGATTTTCAAAAAATTGGTATCGTTGTAAAGGCGACTAAACCCCCTTCCTTCTGATATATATATTTTTATACTTAGTGTATAAAAATTAAAAAAA